GTTTTCCACCACAATACCGTGCAATCGCGGTTGAAAACACCAGTGTGTGTCGCGAAAAAAAGGTACATGTACTTTTTTTCAGCCATTGCCAACCCATTGAAATGAATGGGGCCACAGAGCAACTGTTGTACGCAACCACAAACGATTGCCCAAGTCTGCACCAGCCCTAAAGCGTAAATTCACTTTCCAAAGTAATTTGGGAAAATTGAATTACCTGCACAAATCTGGCCCCCTTTCCCTCCCTGCTATATTTACCTTTCAGCGATCGGTCCTGCTCGTCCGCCAGTACGGGTGTACAGATGTTCCTCACTTACCGACTTACCTGTTTTGCGACCACTCGCACTTACGACGGACCGCCGATCGACCTCCGACCTTCCGCGTCCTGGTCACTGCGACGGGGCTCGGGCGGAAGTGACATCCCCCGATCTTCACTGCAGGTCTCGGTAAGTATTTCCATTGCCGGATGTACAGTACACTGTTCGGTACTGTACATCAGCAACGCTATACAGTACTGTACTAATGCAGTATAGTACTGTATAGAGTTCCTCACTTAACGACCAATCCGTTTAACGACCTGGTCGTAGGAACGGAACTCGGTCGTTAAGTGAGGAATACCTGTACTATCTGTACCTGTTCCATGTATTCTGAATTTCGCTCGCAAATTGCACTTGCTGGTCAGCGCAGTCACCTGACGGCACTGACCAAAGAGAAGCTCTTTTTAGCACTGCAAAATATGGTTTTGGTTAAACTGATTTTTTTGTATCAGGACAAGTAGATTCTCATGAGGGACAAGTAGATCGGGCCCCTGCTTTAGTCCTTGGACAAGTATTTTTTTTTTTTTAAATGTCTACACCCCTGCACATACATATATCTCACGTATATAGACACACAGTCATGTGAAAAAGTAAGCACGCCCCATATAAATTGTTTAAACATACAAACAATGGATCTTGATTTAAACAGTGCCTATAAATAAAAGGGTATATACTTGAACGAAGAACGAATAAAACTAAGTTTTGAAATTGCAGATTTGGCACATAGAAAAAGTAAGTACTCCCCTACATTTACACCCCC